GGGTGAGTCTGATGGGCGAAGCCATGTAGCAGTAAGCGTATGTGACGAACAATTGCAAGTGCATTTCAATCAACATATAATTTCGCGCCCAACAAATAGTTACGAAAACTGGCCAAATATCTAAATTCTTTGCCGAATTCAAAGTTGGTGTATCGCGACAAAGTCATATAATGTACTTTGAATTCATCAGCATCCATAAACTGGCAAACTCGAATGACATTTGCTTTATTTCTGAAAATTGCAGCGTAGGCGAGGGTATGCATATATGGGACAGAAGTATTGCCACGGTGGGTATGAGATAGGAAGAGAAGATCAGACTTCTCATACAGAAATGATTATATTTGCATTAGAATAGACTATGCGTAAGCGGGACACATCTCGAGAAACAGTTTGGTCAAGAAAATACATTCTCTTTACCAAATCTATGAGTCATTTCTAAGAAGCACTACAGAGCCTATTGCTACCGAATACGATGCGTTTACTTTATGCGGTACTAATAGAGCTGTTTAAGCTGTAGGAGCGGTTGTTTTGTAATCTAGTTTTGCAACACTTGACTAGAATTTCCCACTTACTAGCGAACTCGGTTGCTAGTGAGTCATAAAGTCCTGATACTGGTCAAATCTATAAATTTGCCATATTTTAACTATTGCTTATTTCCGCCACAGAAAAAGTGTTTAAAAAAGAGGAGTTCGTTTTGGGGATGGTCTGAAGAGTTCCCCAAGTTCTTAAATGTTTTGAGTACCTTCGCAAGCGAATGCATTTGACAGTTGTTCAAAACAGACTTCTGTATAATAGCATAGTTTGAACAACAAAAGGAAAACGTGTTTCAAGTGAAATGAGTGCAATAACTTAATAAGAGTTGAGAGTTTCTCTACATGGATCTCTACTTCTTTATCCCATACTGCCTTACCGCTTCCCTCTAATAATTCTACCAAAGAAGACAGGGGGATTACCACTAGGTCCTACTACCTTGGAAAAATGGTTCTATTACCATTTCGAACTTCATATGTTTGTTACTGATCGTGAAAAATGGCACTTTCAATCACGTAGCATTTGCTGCGCCCTTGTCTACTGCGCACGTCTTTTGATTAAAGGACACTAAGATTGACCCATCATGATATGAAGACTTGACGGCACGATTTTATAACTTGGAGGCTTTCACACCCCATTAACTCTAATATCACTGCACCACCGAGTGCAGACTGACCGAATAAAGAATCTTCTACTCAGATGTACTTGTGTCACATTATAATTGCATTTAGCCATCGTTAGGCCATACTAACATAAGAGTTAGGCGTGAGACATGCAACAGCTTATTAGACGAGCAAAATTTTTGAAAATTAGTTCCTACTTTTCTTTCTTCTCTTTTCCTTTGTCAATCGCAAGTGTTTTTTTAGACCCAGTGATTGACTGGTAAGCCAGACTAGACCTGATAAAAAGAACTGAACTGATTCGTAGAAAATTGGCAGCAAAGTGTGCATATATAGCGTAAAGGTTTGATATTTGGATTTCAACATCATCCCATGTTCTTTCTGAAGGATCTATTTACTTTTGGTAACCGACAGTATTGAAATATGCTGGTAAAATATACTGGAGGTGCAGTATGGCTTTGCCCCAGTTTAACCCCTCCATTTCGTTTCTACCATCTCTTTTGTTAACTTCATTATCCAGAAGCAGGGCATTTCAGGAATAAGCTAATTTAATCTCGCCGATGACGTTCTTTCTTATAATATTCTTGTTTCCAAAGATTTTTCTTTTTACAACACTCTTTCTTCAAATCCCAAGAGATGAATCGTCCTAATATAGCAGCTTCATGTGCAATTTATTGTGTCTTATGGTTGAATCAATGCACGATTTCCTTTAAAAAAAAAAAGAGATGATGAATCACTTTCTTGCTCCTATAAGGATTGTCACTTTTGCTCAGAAGGTAGCACCTAAGAATAAAATCTTTACATCAAGCTCCACAATACTAACAGCACAACTAATTGAAAATAGTCAATGATTTTTTTACGATTTGGGAGCGGAAAACGGTTTTTCTGTCATGTATCGATGGCGTATAGTTGTTGCGATTAAAATGATTGATGCACCTCCAATCACTGACACTCAAACTCGCGAGGTACTGTCCAAATACTAGGCACAACAAGAGACACTTGACTGCAGCTATGTAGTGGAAAGAATTCTTAAAGTTATTTTGAGTACAAAAACAAAGCATCAAATTTGATCTTGTGTCCCTCTGAAATTAGAGCGGGCGCACAATCTTTACAGTCAAAAATTAAGTTGCAAGAGAGTTTTTAGACAAAGAAGTCTAAACTTGTCGGCAGGCAACCACTGTTTCCATAGTTTGTGTCTCTCGCTAGCGTCATCCACAATGTTGGTATTGAACTGCGGCGCCGACGTTCGCGAGGTCCAGATCCATTACTCGTTACCAGCTGAGAATTTAGCTGGCCATCCGTGCAACGAACACGTCAGCCCATCCAGTCGATGGCCTCCCTCGACGACGTTTTGCTTCGCGAGGAATTCATTCCAGAGTTCTTAGTGTCCATTTGTCGTCTGTCCTTCTCATTATATGACAAGCCCATCGATGCTTTGCCTTAGA